GGGGACGGGGGACGAGGAGGGGGACCCGTCGGGGACTGGGGACAGGCGGAGGCGCAGCGAGGTGCGGGGCGGGGGAGGGAGACGCGAGCTCTAAAGAAAAAGGGTGAGAGCGGAGGTACAGGAGATGAAGACAGCCTCCAGGAGAGACGGACAGATGGAGAGAGACAAAGAGAAGCCTGGCGAGACAGCGCGAGGAAGTCAGTGCTAGAGCTCAACTCGGGCGGAGACGGACGAGATAAAGAGAGACAGACACTGACTCACGAGGCGTGCACGCTGCCCCAGCGCCACGCCACCCGCAAACCTTGAAGAAAGCCTTGCTTTCCTTCATTTCTCTGCTCGCATTCAGCCCTTTTTCAAAGGGGCTTGGGGGCGGGACCCTGGAGAAAGATCTGTCTTCTGTAGCCTCAGATGCAAGGTTTCTTCCTGTGTCCCCTGAGTCATTTTTCCTCCAGAAAATGTCACCTGAGTCATTTTTTTTTCAGCGACGGATAATTGGGAAGTCCTGCTTGAAGTCTAATTTCAGTCCTTATTGCTGCACCATTCTACTCTGAGAAAGCTTTTGAATTGCTTTCAAGGAATATGAAAAGTGAACCCTTTTACAACCCTTCAGAGAGTTGTCAGGTTTCAGAATCTTAGAAGTTCTAAATAGGAAGGACTGTTAGGAGCCTGGTCGCTGGATCCTAATTTTAGCAAGGCAGTTGTGGTTAGCTATGTGTGCTGGTAACTGAGGTTAAACTGCCCTCAAATCATAACCATACAGGGCTGGGGATTTAGCTCACTGGTTCCCTACCTGCTTTGCAAGCACAAAGGTCCTGAGTTTGATCCCTGGTACAAAAAAAAACAACAAAAAAACAAAAACCCATGGCCATACAATTTACTATCCCTTTTGACCTTGGGCAAATGAGCCTATTTGTGCTTCAGTTTTCTCTCATTTGTAAGAAATATTATAACTGATACTTCATGGAATTGTTAGGATTACACAAAACCATATATGTGTAGGATTTAGAAATGCTCTAAGCTTGTGGGAATAGTGCTCCATACTACCCCCTTGCCCCTTCATACAAATCATGAAAACTGCTAGGTGTGATGGGGCATGCTTGTAATCCCAGCACTCCAGAGGCTGAGGCAGGAGAATCACAGGGGCTTCAAGGCCAGCCTGGGCTACATAATGAGTTCAAGCCCAGCCTGTGCTGCAAGATCCTGTCTCACCCCCCCCACACACACACAATGATCATGAAACCTAAGGCCCAGAGTGGTCCAGAGATAGGCTCCAGTACAGGGCAGGGACAGGCTAATTCTTCAAGCGGATTGGCTGAAACTTTGCTCTCCTCACTTCAAAGCTGATGATTTTATCTGTGGTAGGAGGACCGCAAGAAATTGGTGTTCCAGATTAGGAGGCAGCATTCCTGGGCTTTGGGAGTTATGTTGCATGTGAAGGCATCAATCTGTCCACTGTTGCTGTGGTTCTTTCTGCCCTTCTTTGGAATCTCTCTAAACTTTGTTCTCTCAACTATCGATTTGAGAGTAATAAGTATTCAACACAGCCAGAGCATTCATTGTAAGGATGGCTCCCACATTCCAGGGCCACCCTGCTCCCTGACCCACCTACCATAGAAAATGGATATTTCATGAAAAGTAAAAGCCCCATTCTTCACTTTTCTTCCTAGCTTTGAGGGAAATGGAGGGTACATATCCCAGGGTCTTCAAACTCCAGGTCAGGGCAGGGAGGTCCTCTAGACTTGCAGTCTTGCAAGCGCCTCCTGTCCTCAGCCAGGAAGCCAGAAAGGAAACACAGAGAACCAGCGTCACCTGGTGGCCACAGGTGCTTTCTAACTGTGTGTGTGTGTGTGTGTGTGTGTGTGTGTGTGTGTGTGTGTGTGTGTGTATGTGTGTGTGTGCCTATAGTGACCTGAGGCTGGTTATCCTGGAGGGAAAGGAACAGAGTGGTTTCCTCCAGCCTGACCCTTGAGGCCTCTAACCAGTCTCTGCTCTACTTTCATAAGCAAGAGTGGGGTGTTGGGGGTGGGGGGGACTTGGACCAGGTGAATTAGCCTCAAAGGGTGAGACCCTGCTAGAGCAGCTGGAAACCATGTCTGTCTTTGATTCAGCTAAACTGAGTAGAAAGCTGAATTCATCCACAGCTAGCCCTTTTGCACAGGACAAGGACTGGGGGCTGGATTTACCGAAGTGGATGATGAAGCTGGATTACCAAACTGTTTTTAAGTAAACAAACTTATTTGCAGGAATGGGGGATTCTGACAACAGTAGTTAGGTCAGGTGCCACTCCTGAGAAGTTAAACAAAAAGGCCAGCTAACTGCTCACTTTGTTTTTTCAGTACTTGGGATTGAACCCAGGGCCTTCTCACTGAGCTACATCCCCAGCCCTTTTTTATTTTTTATTTTAAAACAGAGTCTTGCTAACTTGCCCAGGTTGGGCTCAAATTGGTGGTCGTCCTGCCTCGGCCTCCCAGAGTACTGGGACTGTAGGCATGTGCCACCATGCCTGGCTACCTCACATATTGTACAATCTGGAAATCTTTCTGCTGAAGGCTATGTCCCTGGCCAGCTGGTCTCTGACATATGCTCTGACATAGGTTCCCCCAAATCCTCAGCTATTAGGTTCTGGCTCCAATCCTGGCCTATTTCCTTTTTTCTCAGAGACCACACCTGACCATTAAAGGCATGTAATTTATTTATTAATAATTGACAGTACTCCTTGGGTAGGCTATGGCTGAAATATTGATCAGAAGATGGAGAAACTTCCATTTGGGGGATGGAGAGGTTGTCTGTGAAAATGCCCACTGGTGTCACTTTTACCAGTCCTTTGGTTCTGAAGAAGACGGGCCTAGATTCCACCAATGGGATGCAGTTCTAACGGAGCCTACGGAAACTCTGGGGTCCTCGTTTTAAGATGGATCCATATGCTTGGCGGAACTGGCGGTTCATGGCTGCGTAGAGCACAGGGTTAATGCAACCATTGAGCCAGGTGAGGTTGGCAGCGAGCATGTGAACAACCCGGGGAGCTCGGACCTTGGCATCCAGAATGTTGAGCAACAAGAAGGGGATATAGCTCAGGACAAAGCAGAGGAACACAGCAAAGCACATTCGGGTCACCTTCCCAAACTCAGATGGAGAGTCCTGAGCTCTTCGGGCTCCTTTAGTTGGCTGGGACTTGGCAGATCCTTCCGGAGGGCTTTTCTCTGCCATGTGCTTAGGCACTTTGCTGTTGCCCTGCTCCCTCATTTCTGATGAGTCCTCTTCCAAGGTCTGAGTAGTGGCAGCACTGGCTGGCTCAGAGGAAATCCCGTCACTGGGCCCTCTTGACGCCAGCCTGCTGTCCAGCTCCTTGAAATGACCAGGCATGGCCTCATCTGTCCCTGCCACATGGTTGGAGCGGATGCTTGCCTGCCGCAGCTTGTACTGGTCCAGTGCTTTTGCTGCTCGCTTCACCTGGCGATGGATGAGGCAATAGAAGACGCCAACACTGCTGAGCCCCAGGACAAAGTAGATGCCCATGAGGATGGTGGTGTAAGGCCGGCCTTTCAAGCGGTCAAAGCTGCAGGTGCAGACTACAGGTACCAAGACATAAACAGGCCAGAGGGGGGCAAAGCTGCCCACACCCACCACCCAGGTGCCCACCAGTGCCAGCACTATCCCCTTGGCACTGAAAACTTGGGGAAAGCGCTTTGGATGGGCGATGAGGAGGTAGCGACCCAGCGCAATGAGGCAGAGGGTGAGGATGGAGACAGAGTTGGAAGTGAAGAGGAGAAGCCCAAACACCCTGCAGAAAGTGGCACCAGCGCGCCAGTGCAGGTGGAGGTAGGTGTCCACGGAGAAGGGCTGAAGGAAGGTGCAGTACAGCACATCCGCCAGTGTGAGGTTGGCGATGAGCAGGTTGAAGCGGGTTCGGAGCCTGGGCTGGATGGCCAACGCCAGCAGGGTGAGCACATTGCCCACAGTGCCTGTCACAGCCACCACTACTCCCCAGCTAACGGCAAAGTAGCGATAGTGCAACACGGACTCGTGGTGGCAGGAGAAGGTGGTGTCGGTGGTGTTCCACATGGTGGAGGCTGACGAGACAGGAAGGGGAAGAGGAAGAGGGAGTCAGAGCCCGGCCTTCAGCTTGGATCTCCCGGGTGGCTTTCGGTCTCTGCGTACGTGAATTGCTCCCGGAGGACCTCGGCTCACCAGCCTCCCCAGCTGGTCTCAGACTACTTCACCTCAAGGCCCCCGACTCTCTTCTTAGGGTCTCATTCCTTTCCTGTTCTCAGAGTTCCCCAAATTCTTATCAAAATATCTTATCTAAAGGTCTTAAATCTCTGTCTTGCTCAAACCCTAGCCCTCTTCAATATCCATCCAGATGGTCTCAATAAACGCAACATCTTCCAACCTTTCTAATTCCTTTGCCATTTTCAAAGACTACTGGAAGTCCCCCCACCCTTTTTTAGGGGGGTACCGGGGATCGAACTCTGGTTCTTGTGCTTGTGAAGCAGGCAGAGGAACCACTGATTTAAATCCCTGGCCCTGAAAGCCGGGTGTGGTGGCGCACACCTGTAATCCCAGCACTCAGGAGACTGAGGCAAGAGGTTCGCTGCGAGTTCGAGACCAGCCTGGACTCCATAGTGAGTTCCAGGTCAGTCTCAGCTACATAGCGAGACCCTGTCTCGAAAAACCAAAAGTAAATCAATCAATCAATCAATCAATCCCCGGCCCCGGGAGTCCTCTTTTTGTATTCAGGATGCTGCTACAGTTTCCCCTGTTCCTTTCTCCCCTCCAGTCCTCTCCTGTTCCTTTCTGTTATACACACATACAGGCCTTGGGTTTTCTGTCTGTTGCCACCTGCATGGCAAGGAGACCAGGGACGTAATATAGCCACTAGCAAGGTACTCACCTAGCCTCTGTCTGGTCTCTCTCCAGAGCGAGAAGTCCAACTCACCATAAGAGCAGTCCTTTCTCGTGGGCAGTTGGGCTTCACGCAGGAAGCAGTCTGGTCTCATGTCTTCTATTACACTAGGCTACAAGAGTGAGAAACTCCCTGGTTACCCAACCTGGGCCACTTCCTTGCCCCACTCTTCCTTCCTTCCTCCTCCTTTTACGTTGACTAGTGAGATCTGCGCTTCTCTACTGAAATTCCCCCGCTTCTTACTCCAGAGTTGTCTCACTTCTTTTTCCTTTCCAAGACCCGAGCTCTGTTTCCTTCCCCTTTGTGTGGTGGGACGCCCATAAGATCACTGCTGGGACGTGGAGACAGCCTCAGATCATCTGAGCCACTTCTCAAGGGACTGAGAGATAGAACCGGGTTCCAAGAGCGGTTTAAGGCACCCTGGAAGCACTGCCTTTCTTCTTTCCAGGGTTTATAGATTGCTTAAGTCAGAGGGTGCCGTGTGACTTTCTAGTACATCAGAGGAGCAAAGTTGGATTAAAAAAAGAGAGAGAGAGGGTTGGGAAATGAGGCATCAGAGACTCTGGTTTCATTTTCTATAGGGTCTCGGCTCCCATTCATTCATTCATTCTTCTGTTCTTTCCACTTCTACAGAGTGCCTACTACACACCGGGATCCTAAGCTAGACAATCGGGGCTTTAGAAGGTCTGATACAAGGCTTTGTGCACTGTCTAGTGGGGAAGACAGGTATGTAAGGACATAAATGCTTAACTGGTCCCTTAAAGTAGGAAGACCAATCTGGCTTGCCAGCTCTTTTTGTTTGTATTTGTGATACAGAGCCTTGCTGGGTTGCCCAGGCTGACCTCCAACTCCTGGACTCAAATGATCCACCTGCCTCAACCTCCTGAGTAGCTCAAACTAGTGTGTAGTACCCCGCTTAGCTATTTTTTCCATTTTGAAATGGTTACATGCTGGGTAATTCAGTGAGACTATCTTTAAAAGTAGGGATGTGGTTTAGTGTTCAATCCCCCAAACCACCGGAAAGAAAGAAAGAAAAAAAAAGGAAGTAAAGAAAAGAATGAGTTACACAGTTTAGAGCTGGCATGATAGTACATTCCTGTCACTCCAGAGCTCTGGGAGGAACCTAGCGTGAGCATTTCGTGACTTAGTGAGAACTTGTCTCAAAAGAAAAAAAAAAAAAAAAAAAAAGTGAAGAACCTGGGTCCGATCCCCAGGACCAAAAACCAAAAACAAACAAAAAACTCAGAAAACAAAAACACCCATGCCTGGTGGCACACACCTGTAATCCTGGCTGAGGCAGGAGGACCACCGAGAGAGTTCAAGGTCAGCCTGGGCTCCGGGCTACATCCATAGTCCTTATGCCTGTGAGGCAGGCAGCGGCACCACTGAGCTAAATGCCATGAGACTCTTGTCGCCAAAATATGTATCTATAGATATAGATAGATATCAGGGGCTCCTGAGTTCATTCCCTGGTACAAAAACCAAACAATGTATCAGGGGCTAAGAGAAAAGGAACAAGCTACTAAGGAGGCTGTCAGGAAAGGATTTATAGGGAAATGCCTGAACTGAATCTTGAAGGATGGGAATTTTTCTTTTTTTTTTTTGGTACCGGGGATTGAACTCGGGTCCTTGCGCTTGCAAGACAGGCCACCAAACCACTGAGCTAAATCCCCGGCCCCTAACAGGAATTTTTCTTAAAGATAGGGAGAAGAATATTTTAGATAAAGGGAACAGTGTGCATAAAACACAGAGGGTCCCAGCACTCTGGGTGGCTGAGGCAGGAAGATCCTAAGATCAAGCCCAGCCTGGGCAATTTAGCAAGACCCTGCCTCCAAATAATGAATGAATGAGCCAGGTGTGGTGGAACATGACTGTTATCATGTGAATGATAACATCCAGACTTGTGCTGGGCATGGTGGCGCACATCTGTAATCCCAGCACTCGGGAGGCTGAGGCAGGAGGATCACTAAGTTCGAGACCAGCCTGGTCTACATAGTGAGTTCCAGGTCAGTCTCAACTACACAGTGAGACCCTGTTTAAAAAAGAAAAGAAAAACAATGAATTAATGAATAAGCAAGTAAAAAATAAATAAGGGGGATGCTGGAAATGTGGCTCAGTGCATAGGCCCAGCAAGGAGGATGAAGGAGGAAGCAACGAAGAGCCTGCAAGTTGAGCAAGGGAGATCCCATGGAGGGACTGTGTATCATGCTAAGGAACTAGAGATTTGGTTGGGGGCCAGTGCCAGGATTCAAGCCAGAACCTTATGTCTGCTGATCAACTTCTCTACCACTGAGCTATATACCCAGCACCACCACCACCCTTTAAAAAATTTTTGACATAGGATCTTGCTAAATTGACCAGGTTGGCCTTGAACTTGTTATTTTCCTGTCTGGGGCTCCTGAGTAGCTGGGATTATAGGAAAGCACCACCATACCTGGCTAGGAGCTAAAGTTTTAGCAGGAGGCTTTGGGGAGACTTGTGCTCAAGTTGCTGTAAGAAGTGGGATGTACAGGCTGGAAGTGAGAGCAGAAGGAGGCACCAGTTCAGACGAGAGATAGGGTTTTTGTTAGGGCCGGGCCAACCATGTTACTTCACAGGGCCCCACACTCAGGAGTGCTTAGTTTTGTGCTTTTCATTTACTGTCTTGAAGCTCTTCATGTTTTGAACAAGAGGCCCTGCTTTTCTCACTTTGCACTGAACCCTATAAAAACGTATGTAGCCAAGTCCTGGGTAGGGCAGTGGTGTGGGAAAAGCAAAGAATGATCAGGATCCGTAGGTCATAAAGTGGTCAATAGAACTGATTTAGCCAGTTGTTGGATGACAGGCTGGGAAGCGTGAGGAAAAGGATGACTCCGTTTTCCAGATGGATGCTGATGCTCTTAATCAATAAGACAGGAAGGACGGGGAGACATGCAGCGCAGTGGTGCAGGGCGTGTTGAGAATGTGTAAGGCCCTGGGTTCCATTCCCGCACCAAAAATGAAACAGGGAACAGGAAAGGAGCAAAGGCCTAAGGAAATGGGTAATCGTGAATTCTGTTCTAAACAAGCAGAGTGGAGATGCCTGTGGGGCTGCTGGTGTCCCGGCCTCTCCAGCTGCTTCCTCTAGCCCTCTCTAGGTCCCCCCACTGCATGACCCTGCTCCTTCTCTCCATCCACCCCACCTCCTTCTGGACAAGTGACCTGGTCTCTGGCTTTGCTTGAGCTAGACTGACTTGAAAAGACAAAAGCAAAAAACCACTTTGTTGGGTTCCATTTCTGAACCCAAGTGAACCTCCTATCCCCAGCTTCAAAACTGACAAACCCTGGGGCCCCTATTCCCCATCCTTCTTTTATTTCTTTCTGGTAGTGGAGATCAAACACAGGGGTGCTCTACCAACAAGCTATACCTGTTGCCTTTAAAAAAAAAAAACTTTTAACAAAACTTTTATTTTTAAAATTTATTTTATTTTATTTGGTACTGGAGATCAAACCTGGGTCCTTGTGCTTTCGAGGCAGGCAGCAGAACCACTGAGCCAAATCCCTGGCCCCCAAAACACTTTTGAGACAAGGTTTTGCTATATTACCCAGGCTCGCCTCAAACATTAGATCCTTCTGCCTCAGCCTCTCTCCTAAGCAGAGAGAATCAGGGATCACAGGCATGCTCCTCAGTACCCCACCCTCCTTCCTCTAACAAGAATCATCTCACTTTCCCTTCTCTTGTCTTGTGCAAGACTGAAAGCGAGTAGAGGGAAGTGAAAAGTGACAAGCCAGTCAGGAGGAGTCCACAGACAGGTTGGGCGTGGGTCTGAGCCTTTTGGTTTGACTTTCATGCCACCCAGTAAGGCTAGACAAAAGGGGTCACAGAGTCAAGGCTATTCTTGGGTGTATTTCTTGGACTGAATTCTGAGGTTCAAGAGATCACTTCCCTGCACAAGAGGCAGCGAAATGATCCCTATGTCAGGCCCCTTAGTGGCAGGAGGAGAAAGTATGTGTTTTAGTCTTAGATGCGAGGTCTCAATAAATTTTTAAAAGACTGAAACCAGAGTTGGGCATGGTGGCACACAGAGGCAGGAGGATTTCTTTGAGGTCGAGGCCAGCCTGGGCTTCATAGGGAGAGCCTGTCTCAAAAAACAAAACAAAACAAAACAAAAAACGAAAAAAGATTGAAGCCTGGCTTTTTGGTTTGTTTTTTCTCTCTTGACACAGGGTCTCATTATGCAGTTTAGGCTAGGCTTGAACTCACTATGTAGCCCAGGCTGGCCTCAAACTCATGGTCGTCCTCCTGCCTCAGCCCCCGAGTGCTGGGATTACAGGATTACAGGTACGTGCCACCAGGCCTGGCCAGAAGCCTGCTTAATTTGCAAAGGGGGAAGCGAGGTCCTGAGAGTGCAAGGACTGACCTAAGGGTTTTTGGCTTGGTTTTTTTTTTTTTTTTTTTTTTGGTACTGGGGATTGAACTCAGGTCGTGGCATCACTGAGCTAAATCCTCAACCCGAAGGTCAGTTATTTATAAGGGGCCAAGAAAAGGCTAGAGCTCAGATCCTGACCCCATCCCTTCTTTGCATGCCTTCTGTCTTGCTGCAATGGGTTTCCCACTAGAGGCACAAAGCCTGGATTCTTTCCTTTGTCTAAGACTGGGTCTAGAACCATCTTCCTAAATTGAGGGAACACCTCAAAGAAGCCGCTCAACCTAGGAGACTCCTTTTCTCCTCAGTCATTGGCGCCGCCTGGTGGAGTTGTGGTGAATTCTCCGTCGCCGCAGCTGCCTTCGCAGATCTGGACACCCGCCGAGTTTACACGAGGTGGGCGGGAGTGAGTGGGGGACCGTTGCTCGTCTTGCACAAGCTTCCTATCTTTTCTCCTCCCGCCCCACTCCCCTGTCCCCCTCCTCTTCCTGTGTGCCGGCCTCCCTCACCGTGCAGATCCAGTGGCTCCCCAAAGATAGTCTCAGCCTGGGGGGCGGAGGGCAGAACGAATCCAGACTTTATTGTCAAGGAGAAGGGTGAAGGGGCCGGCGAGGATGGGGCCGGGGTTGCTACATTGTCAAGCAGAGAGTTGGTGGGGAGGGGAAGGCCGTGGTCCCCCTCCCGGGTCGGTGGCTAGATGGGCTGACATACGGGAACCACAGACAAGGTGGGGGTGTCACGCCCCCGCCCGATTGTGCAGTGGAGGTGTCAGGAAGGGACAGCTGTGAGGTTGAGGAGCTGGGAACCGGAAGGCTACAGACTCCTGCGAATCCTGCAGAAAGGGGAGGGCGGGGGCGAGGCTCTATTGCTTTTTGCTCACAGTTTTGCGGAAGGCGAGGCGGGGGTGGGCTTGGACTGGACACCCCTTGCCCCCCTCGGTACCCCTTGGGCGATGGGTGCTGGTGAAAAGAATGGAACCCGGACTGGGGAGGAAGAAGGCGAGGGAGGGTCTCTGGGGGCATCTCCTTGGTCCCACCCAAGTGCCAGAGATGCTCCCAAGTGCTGCACCCTGCGATGGCCCGGCTAGACCTGGGGCAGGGGCACGGTGCGGGGCGGGCACAGTGAGGTCGCAGGCGGTAAAACCAAAGTGCTTATGAGGGACCCAGGATCCCACCTGCTCCCCTCCCCCTGCGGAGGACGGGGGTGTTCACGGAAGCGCTTCAGTTTGGGGTAGGGGGCCGGAGTCCCAGAGTCCGCTTATTGCCAAGAAAATCCATTTCTGCCCCCCCGGACCCCGACCATGGCTTGTGAACCCCGTTTTGTGCTAGGTTTGGGGGGGAGGGCTGGATGGACATGGCTTTTGGGAGGGGGGGTGTCTCCAAGGGGGCTAGGGGGTGAGACGGCCCCCCCTTTTCTAGGGGAGAGGGAAGGGCAGGGGGCGGGGGTTCCCTGAG